GTGACCTAATCAAAACGTCCGACTTGGATGTGGGCGGAGTTGGATATCCATCCTTGTTCCTGCAGTCTAGTTGCAGACGTAGTTGCCGTGGCGTCACACGCCGGCAGGGAAGGCGGGAATGTGACCTTAGCGGGCGTTTTTCTGAAGGCCTGAACGTGCGGGGAATAGAGCCGCGGCGTGCACGTGACTCACAAAAAGGCTCGAGACGAGGTGCTGAATAATGCACAACACCCCCCCAACCCCCCCATCAGCCTTGGAGTGACTCTGGTATGAAGCTGGAAGAGGAGCAGACTCACACAGTGAAGACCTGAATGGGAACAGAGTCCGGGCACAAATCCTCCACAGGAAACAAACCGTGTCGTTTAGCCTTTAAAGCCGTATCATCCCGGGTCCTCTTACAATTTTTAATGACCAAATAGGTCATTAGAGGGCTTAATCCTGTGCGAATCAGCACTGCCAAAAAAAAAACCTGCACTGTAAAAAAATTCCCCCCAAATGAGCTCGAACTCGGAGGTCATCCGATCGCATCAGGCTCATACGAGTGAGAGTCTCAGGAAAAGTGGGACATGCCTTTGCTCCACGGGGGCTTTCCGTTTTTTTCCCTCCTCTGTGGGATTCGGGTTTATTGAAGCTTTGGGGAAACTCTGACGACACACCGGGTGCAAATTCCAGAGATTCGAAAAGCCGCTCGGCGTGGAGGTGAGTTTAAGCCAGTCGGGCTCTGAGGAAGGATTTTTACAGAGGTTTAATAGTCCCATAACTACTTTCTAATTTCCTTCCAATTATCTTTTTTCTCTTAATTGTTCTAAAGCGGTCTTAAGCATTCATTCCCCAGAATTTATTAAAGAATTCCAAAGTTTTTCTTTGCGCATTGGATGTTTTTTCACTCATTTTTTGAGCACTACGTCATAAAAAAAAAAACATGACGTGTTGCTTTTTCTTTAGTTGATGTGTGAAAAATGCCAAAAGTAACAGAGTTTGGAAGGAAAACGGCTATTTTAGTGGACTGAAAATCAGGGATGAATTCTCCCCAGATTGTAAGAGGCCTGGAGAATAGAGGAGGATGATACTGGACCATCATTTATCAATAAACCTCTGCATGCGTTTCCTGTTTGTTTGGAAATTAAGAAACAAAAATCGGAGGTGGCTGCAGAGTTTTGTGGTGATTCGTTTTAGAAGTTCCCATAAAAGACAAACTCTGGACGGTCGCTGGTCGGAGGCCGAACACGACACCGGCGAGCTGCTGCACGCCGCTATGGCAACCGGCTGGGGTTGGTGTCATGTTGCCATGGCGCCGTGAGGCAGGCCATGCCCACTTCTCAGGTGTCAGGCGGACAAACAAAAGAGGGTGGCCAAAAAACAACAACAACAAAAAAGAGCTACACGCCTTTCACAAACTTTAGAGGAAGCAGTGAGAGTTTATCCTCATCCTTTTTTGCGAGTCCCACTAACCCTTCGCTCCTCTTCCCCCGTCCTGCTTCTGGCTGACCGGGATCTTATGAGACTCCAACTTCATCTTCATGAGCCAATATCATTAGAAACAGAGCTTTCAGAGCACCAAAGCATCCAAGATTTTACACCCGTGTGCATTAGGGACGTCGCGATCCAGCTTTTTGCACTGATCCGATCCTGATCCCGGCCTATCAGAGGATATGTTATAGTTTAAAGTTATTTATCTACTTACTTATTTGTTAGACTCATGTTGAAAAGGGATTTACTCTGATAACAACTAGCCAACTGAATTAGGTGAGTCTGAATAATACACAGTGGTTGGTAAAAAGACACTGACCTGTTTATTCAGGGATAAACACAAAGCAGGATAAAATAATCCCACACAACTGACATTTTTACAGATAGCTTCAAATTAACATGGCAGTCTTAATGGTTAGGACACAGATCTGTGGGTCAGGAGATGCTAATGTTAATGCTAATCCTTAAGGGTGTGCTGGAAAATGACCGGACATTAGGAAAGTGGAATGGATTATTTAAATGACTTACTGAAAACAGATCAGACTTTTTTTTTTTTTTTAAACTGGATCGGGAGTCTAGATTCTCTCCTGCCGGCCGATACGCATCTTTTTGCAAATATGCAAATATCCAAATATCGGATCAGGACAAGCCCAGTGTGCACTGAAGGGTCTGATGTCCAAAAAGTCTGAGGTTTTTCATTCTATTTGCAGCATTTCCCCTCAGAAGACACAAATGTTTTA